GACTTGATACTATATTACATTTGTTATTTAAAGAAGAACTCCAGGAAAAAAACATATTTAACTCACTGCAAAGGTTACATGCTCCTTTTTTTTTTTTGTCTACATGTGAAATTAAAAAAGTTACACTCATCTGAGCCGACTGGCTGTTAGACCAGTCCCTAGAGCCTCTCCCCCACCACTCCGGTGGTCTAAAGTCCGTGAGACTGTGTATTGGATGTGAGGATGACGGGGTACATACCATCGCTGGAGCTGAGCAGGAGACAGGCTGGAGGGAGCGCTCTAACAGCTGTTGTTGTTTTTACACCTTAACAAAAACGAGCACTTAACCCTTGTAGTGGTAGCTCCACTGAAAGGATTTAAGGACATTTTTTTCCTGGAGTTCTTTGTAAATATTCACTCGGCGAGATATGGGATCTGTCGTTTTAATCTGAAAAAGTTAGTTGACTGGCTGTTATGGGTCAATGTCATCAGTACTTGTTATTGTTTGGAAAATGGTGTATATATCCGGAAAATCAGCAAAGCCAAAGGTCCTAATCAGAATACTTGTACAGGTTTACTGGCTCAATGAACTGAAGCCAGAAGTGTGGACTTGAAAGCCAAACATCTAGAATGCAGCATGAGAAGTCAGCAACTGTAACCTCCATGTTTCCTTTAAGAAATTATGTAGGTACAGTTGCGGATTTAGACACAATCATTAGATTGACTTTTACTCCTGTTAGAGTTTTGTATCCAGGAGCTTGTGCTTTGTTTCCATTGGATACAATTTGCTACATTACCTTAATGTTTTATTCCACTTTTGCATTCATATTTGAGAAAAACCTCCTATTTGTTTTTGTGTTTTCGGATTTCACAGCATGCGGGAAAATTCATTTTTTTTCTAACCTTTTTAGATGTTAAATCAGGCAATATGGCTGAATCCAAGATTTTTTCAGTGCACCTTCACAGTGATCTGTCCTTGCATAAAGACTTAGGACTGAAATGTGTTGATTGTGTTTCTCCTATTACTTTCATTAACATACAATGCAGAAGCCAGGCTTTTAATACATGAAACCTTTGTTAGGACAGGGAGATTTCAAATCTGCTTTACAAATTATAATAAAATCAGCCAGCACAGTACAGACAGGATTAATACACAACACACAAAGCCCATTCTAACATTACAAAGAAGGAGAAGCAAGTGGACATTTTAACCCTTAAGAACCCAAGTAAAATCAATTTAAAACTGGAAGAATAATTTTTTTAACAATTGTTTCCGCTTATGCTATGTGAATGGAAACAAGTAACAAATATAAAATAGTAGAGGTGCACCGAAATGAAAACAGAAAATGTTTTTTTTTTTTTTATTAAATATTTTTTTTTTTTTCTTTACTTTTAGGGTCTAAACAGATCCCTGATATTTCCCTTTTAAAATAGAAAACGAGATTGAAAACACAGAGCCCTCAATCCTCTTTTTCTGCAGCCCCTGTTATCAATAAACAGGAAACCTCTATACTGAGTCTTCCTGTTCATTTATAACATGTGGCTATAGTGTGTTTACTATAACCACAATCATGAATGAACAGGAGGTGATGTAGATCACTTGCCATTCATTCATAATTGAGGATATATTAACCATACCATATCCTCAATTATTTACAAACACTCAGCAATCACTGAGTGTTTGTACCTCGCTCTCCTTCCTGACACGCTATAACAGGAGGCTGAGCGAGCAGTGCCTGAAGGAGAGCACGATCTGACAGCTGACTCCTCTCCCCGCAGTTTCTCTCTTCCCCGCTGGGACACAGAGTGCCATTTTCAGCCGTTATGTTTTTCGTCGGGCGATATATCGGTGCATCCCTATAAAATAGGTGTTATCACAATTTGCTGCGAAAGCAGAAATACACTTTTTAAGCCCTGATAAAGGGGGATCTTTGGTCCCCGAAGCACGTTGGCTTCCTACTATTTTCCTGTCATATTTGTGATGTTACTAAAGGACTTTCAGATTCTTTAGAACATGGTTTGAGGCTCTTTTTGGCTTGCTCATGTATGTCTTGGAAGGTCCCCATGCTATGTGAAGGGGAGACAAACCCAAGCAATTAGGGTCAACCAATAACTCCCTTTGACAGATAAAGATTTCAGTCCAGCACCTCACAAACACCTCCTTTTCCTTTAAGAAAGTGGCAGTTTTGAGTAAGCATTGAAAGAGCCTGTCGGCCGTGTGCCATTCTTGCAGAGCCCTTAGGCTTGTTACATTATTTGGTGAGATTAGATGTAAACATTCCTCGGCAGAGTTGCCTTTAAACATTTGTCGCTTTCTTTTGAAGGTTCTAGTTGATAAGACCGGCATCCCCATCAGCCTCTCTGTGCTCTATCTCACCCTTGCTCTGCACCTGGGAGTTTTTCTGGAGCCAGTGAATTTTCCTCATCATTTCATGCTAAGATGGTGCCAAGGTACCCAGGGGTAAGAAATTCTTCCCTTTAACTTTTATAGGATATAAGCCTTGAAATGGTTGGAGCACTTCTAACCAGACTGATAGCTTTACTTTTGACTGCTGCAGACAGACTTTTGTTCCTGGCAGAGTAATCATTAAAATTGCAGTTATAAGACAACTTTTATCCTTCGAGGTTTCAACCATTGATCAATAACATTTTCACACATCTGTTTTGCTTTTGTATGTGCAGGGCTTCAGCTGTAGCAGAACTGTAGACAAAGATTTCCAGAATGCATAGTATTTCATTTGCACTATGGTTAACCATAGCTCCCATATATTGTGGACTTGACACAGTGACTTCATAAAGCTTGTGTTAGGAGAAATAAACCAAATTGGAGTAGAATTTCTTACATGTAAAACAAGAGCACAACTTATTTTTTTTTCTTCACTGGAGAAAGCTCAATAGCTATAGCTCTGCACACTGCTCTGTATCTGGACACTTCCCATATTCACCCAATGTGGCTTGAAACAGAGGCAAATTTATAAAAACATTTTACCATTGAGCTAGACCCTGACAGTCTAATCCATGAATCCTTGAATGTGTAAGTATTCTTTTGTTGGTTACAGATTGCCTTTAATGGACACCTATCCGGTTAGAAATGTGGGAGCTTTCATTACTGATTTTTCTGTTTTGATATTTGTATTAAAGATTATTACTGAGTTGTTTTAAAGGTAGAAGTTCCAGTGCTTTTGTTTAATTCTGGATGCACTACTTTGTCAGTTACATAACTAAAATAGGTCCAGTATTCCAATCCGTTATTTTAGTGAATGCCCACTTCTTAGTTGGTGATTAACAGTGTAGTAGATGAACCCTAGGGATACACAACTTTCCCAAACTTTTTTTCTTCATAATTCAAATCTATTGCTACTATGAGGTTTAGCAATTTGCTTTCAGTCACCTGAATAGGCTAGTGCTACACAGGAGTTTTTCAGTGGCTTGGCTATTATATTTTTCATTTTAAATTGTATTATTGTATGTACACTGCCCCAAAAAATTAAAGGAACACTTTTTAATCAGAGTATAGCATTAACTCAATGAAACTCCTGGGATATTGATAAGGTCAGTTAAGTAGCAGAGGGGGTTGTTAATCAGTTTCAGCTGCTTTGGTGTTAATGAAATTAACAACAGGTGCACTAGATGGGCAACAATGAGATGACCTCCAAAGCAGGAATGGTTTTACAGGTGGAGGCAACTGACATTTTTTTCTCTACTCATCTGTTCTGACTGTTTTTCACTAGTTTTGCATTTGGCTAGAGTTAGTGTCACTAATGGTAGCATGAGGCGATACCTGGACCCTATAAAGGTTGCACAGGCATGCCGACTCCACCAGGATGGCACATTAATACGTGCCATTGACAGAAGGTTTGCTCTCTCAGTCTTGCTCTCAGTCTCAAGAGCATGGAGGAGATTCCAGGACACAGGCAGTTACTCTAGGAGAGCTAGACAGGGCAGTAGAAGGTTCTTAACCCATCAGCAGGACCGGTATCTGCTCCTTTGTGCAAGAAGGAACAGGATGAGCACTGCCGGAGCCCTACAAAATGACCTCCAGCAGGCCACTGGTGTGAATGTCTCTGACCAAACAATCAGAAACAGACTTCATGAGGGTGGCCTGAGGGCCTGACGTCCTCTAGTGGGCCCTGTGCTCACTGCCCGGAACCATGGAGGTTGATTTGCATTTGCCATTGAACACCAGAGTTGGCAGATCCGCCACTGGCGCCCTGTGCTTTTCATTGATGAGAGCAGATTCACACTGAGCACATGTGACAGACCTGAAAGGGTCTTGAGAAGCCGTGGAGAATGTTATGCTGCCTGTAACATCATTCAGCATGACCGGTTTGGTGATGGGTCAGTGATGGTCTGGTGAAGCGTATCCATGGAGGGATGCACAGACCTCTACAGGGTAGACAATGGCACCCTGACTGCCATTCGGTATCGGGATGAAATCCTTGGACTCGTTGTTAGACCCTACACTGGTGCAGTGGGTCTTGGATTCCTCCTGGTGAAGGACAATGCCCGGCCTCATGTGGTGAGAGTATGCAGCCAGTTCCTGGAGGATGAAGGAATTGATACCATTGAATGGCCCCCACACTCGCCTGACCTGAATCCAATAGAACACCTTTGGGACATTATGTCTCGGTCCATCCGACGCCGCCAGGTTGCACCTCAGTCTGTTCAGGAGCTCAGTGATGCCCTGGTCCAGATCTGGCAGGAGATACTCCAGGACACCATCCGTCGTTTCATTAGGAGCATGCCTGGATGTTGTCAGGCATCCATACAAGCACGTGGGGGCCATACAAACTAATAAGTACCATTTTGAGTTGCTGCAATGAAAATTCAGCACAATGGACTAGCCTGCTGCATCATTTGTTCACTTTGATTTTTGGGGTGTCTTTGAATTCAGCCCTCTGTAGGTTGATAACTTTTCATTTCCATCCAATAATGTGGCATCCTTTCATTCCTAACACATTGTCCAGTATACAGTAGATATCCAGCATGACATTTTTCCCCATTGAGATCTGATGTGTTTTCAAAGTGTTCCTTAATTTTTTTTTAGCAGTTTATATACTGCATCCAACTAATGGTTGCTGTATCTAACCAAGTGATACTTCTGTCTAGGGATGCACCGATATCAGTTCAGATACCAGTGCCAATACTTGGCATTTTCATGAGAACTACCAGGGTTGCAGCGGTTGCAGCTGGGACCTGGCTCTGGCACTCCACCACTGTCCTGAAATCATTAGTCTGTATTGTTTTAGAAAAACTGACACATGACAATAAACATTGTATATAACTGTTCCATGACAATAAACATTGTGTGAAACATTGTATATAACTGTTCCAAAACCAATGTTTCATCTCCCCCCTGCAGAAGTTCAGTCATTACAGACTATGTTTATGTGGATGCATTTGGATCTGGAAAATACCTGACTGCGAAAGAGTGTGAATACATGATTGGTCAACCTGTAACAGAGGAGTTCTACGCAGCTGTCAGCACCAAGGAGGTCCTACAGCGTATGGTAGGAAACCTGCTCAACCTCGGCAAAAGGTAGGATTTTCACACCTCTTTATATGTATTTATATAGTATTTTATAGGTTTTTTTTGTGGCACTTCAGCTCTAAACTGTGCATGATATGGCAGTAATATACTATAAAAAAAAAAAAGCTATGGAGATCCCAGCTTCAAGACTCATCCCATCTCTTTGCAGCCCATTTACATGACTGTGGCTATGACTTGGGCATTTCATGCTGCATGTCAGAAATGGTATTACATTTCTAACCAATATTGATGAGTGTTCTGGTGTCTGGATGGATGAAATTGTAAAGAAGTAGCATAAACTATGGTTTTCTGTTGGTCTCATTTTATTATATGTAGATTATAACTTTACGTGTTGTGTTTTACACATATGTCTTTTACAGAGAAAGCAAAGACCGCAGCTTTATGCTGCTAAGAGTGTCTTTGGATCTGTACCTAGCTATGTATCCAGACAGCGTGCAGCACCTATTGCTACAGGCGCGACTCTATTTTCATCTTGGTATATGGCCAGAAAAGGTAAACCACCAAAGCCATAGAATAGCAAGAATAAAGTAATGATGATAATTTAAGAAAACGTGCTATTAACTACAGCATAAAACTGTTTTGTCCAAACAGGTGCATCATCCTCTTACCTTGGTAATATGTTGTTTGATTGAAGTTTTCATTTCTTAGAGGGGCAAACTAGCAGCTCCCACCTCATCTGTTGTAACTAACCTAACTTAAAAAAAATAATTCAGACCAGCAAATGCTAATGTGCAGCCTGCCAAATGTTACAGCCACATTTAATATATTGCATTGTACCAATCCTTGGATATGGTGGCTGCATTATTTTTTTTTATTTCCTTTATTTTCACCTGGTGGTCTGGCCAGTAAGTCTGTTGTTTTCCAACTTCCTTTTACAGACCAAGTTGTCCAGCTGTAGTGTCAGAGGGTTAAGACAAACCTTTGAACACTGACTGGGTGCTTACAATGTTCAGCTTTTATTCATTTATGTAAACCCTTTATCCTAAAAGGAAAAAGTAAACTGCTGCTGTAACGGCCTAAAAGGTGTTATCTGGAGTTATGATTAAATTTGTTAGTAAAGTCCATCTTAAATCTGCTAGTACATCTAACATTACCCTCTCCACAGAGTGACAATGTTGCTGTCCTAGGGTGGCACCACCTTAAGGCAGGAAGTGCATTACTGGCCGGTTAACCAGTTGAAAATAAAGGAAAAAGCCTAAAAAGAAAACCAATGCAGCCACCACATTTAAAGATTGGTAAGCTGCAATGTATTACATTTTTTACTTTGGGTTTAGATACACTTAAAACATTGGGCTTTACATACATTTTAATTAGTTTTAGATGGAGTGGGGAAGGATTAGAACTGTCAGGGACTCACCCTTACTAATAGTTCTGATGACATCTCTGTGGCAAAATCTTTCAGTGGGGATATCTCCTTTTACTTGCTGCTGTGTCTCCAGGACAGGAAGTGAAGGAAAACTTCCCCAGTGATACACAGATTGGGGGGGGGGG